CTACATGACGCCAAAGGTGAGCCATTAAGAGACTTGTGTGATCAGTATGATTTGGAGCAGCTGATCAAACAACCTACAAATCACACTATTCATGGATCTACTCTTATAGATGTGATACTTGTGAGCCGAGCTGACAAATGTGTTAAATCAGCAACCATGAATACAGGATTAAGTGATTCGCATGACATGATATATGTTGTGTTCAAACTGTTTGCTGCCAGGCTGCCAGCAAAAACAGTGACTTATCGCAATTATAAGCAATTTAACATGGATTTATACATTCAGGAAGTGAACTACATTCCCTATACTGTGTGTGAAATCTTTGAAGACCCATCTGATAATTACTGGGCTCTTCAAACTATGCTCAGGGAGATTATGGATGAACATGCACCCCTGAAAACTGTCAAAGTGCGAGCCAAAGAGGCTCCTTTTATGAACAAAACCTTACGAAAGGCTGTGCGAGACAAAAAACGACTGCAAAATAAGTTCAGGAGATTCCCTACAGATGCTAACTGGGAAAAGTACAGATCTCAAAGAAACCGTACAACTCGCATAAGGAAACAGGCCATAAAGGACTATTTCAATGCCAAGTGCAGAAATGGACCTAAAAACTGTGATTTCTGGTCTACGATAAAGCCCTTCCTCACAAACAAAGGGTCCAGCGATGGAAACTCCATCATGATACGAACAGAAAATGCCATTGAGACTAAGCCGCAGGAAGTAGCCAATGTGATGAACAATTTTTATGTGAATATTGCATCGCAGATTGGGGGTAACCTTGATCTAGATCAAGGGATGACCTCCAATACAGACTTTGTACAACAGTGTGAAACTTACTTCACTGATCATCCAAGTGTGCAAAATATCAAATCTAGTATGAACAATTGTGATTTCACTTTTGAACATACCACACCAGATGATGTAATGAAAATCATTAAGGACATGGACACTACTAAGGCAACAGGTTGGGACAGTGTACCACCGAGATTACTGAAACCTGTAGCTACATGCCTTAGTCACCACATCACGTCAATCTACAATCAGTGTGTTGATACTTGTGTATTTCCGGATGGTGCCAAACTTGCTGAAGTGGTGCCACTCTTCAAGAAGGATGACAATCTTATCATGAAAAACTACAGGCCTGTTAGTATCTTGCCTGCTTTGTCCAAAGTACTGGAGAAGATACTTCATCATCAGCTGGCGCCTTTCCTTCAGCGGATCCTGGATCCCAGGATGGCCGCTTATAGGAGAGGATACAACTGCCAGTATGTGCTTCTTCGCTTGATCGAGGACTGGAAGCAGTCCTTGGAAAATCGCAACCACGCAGGAGCCATCCTAATGGACCTGAGCAAGGCGTTCGACTGTTTGCCGCACCAGCTCATTATCGCCAAGCTCAGGGCCTACGGCATGTCGCAAAAAGGTTGTGCCTTGATATGGGCGTACCTTTCGTCACGCAGTCAGAGGGTTAAACTCTCTGGACATGTCAGTGATTGGCTACCGCTGGTAAAGGGGGTCCCGCAGGGTTCCATCATGGGACCGATCCTCTTCAATGTCTTCATGAATGACATTTACGCAACGATCACCAGAGCGTCGTTATACAACTATGCTGACGACAACACTCTAGTCGCTATGCACCCAACCCGACAGGAGGTGATAGAGACTCTAACTACAGAGTCAGAGACTGCCATAAAGTGGTTCAGAGACAATATGATGGAGGCTAACCCATCTAAATTTCATGCTATTATGTTAAATGAAACTACAGATAGAAATACTATCAGTATTGATAATGCTAATATCACCACAGAACCACATGTGAAACTATTAGGTGTGAATATTGATGAAAGACTTAATTTTCATTATCATATCAGTGTACTATGTAAGAAGGCAGGTGCTCAACTTAAAGTGTTACAGAGACTTTCACAGTACCTTGATGAAATGTCTAGACTACAAGTCTTTAGATGTTTTATTTTATCACAGTTTAACTATTGTGCTTTAGCTTGGAACTTTTGTGGTGCTGTAGATTGTGCAAAGATGGAACGCATTCAGTACAGAGCCTTAAAGTTTGTGTATGATGATTTTGAGTCTAGTTATAGTACATTACTAGAGAAAGCAGGGTTATCTACTCTTGAGCTTTCTAGGAATAGAGCTGTAATAATTGAAGTGTTTAAATCAGTAAATAAGCTCTCCCCACCTTTCATGTGGGATTTGTTCAGTGTTAAAGAAGTACCTTACAGCTTAAGGAACTCAAATCAGTTGCTTCAGAAGCACTGCAGGACAAAATGCTATGGATTAAATTCATTAGCCTACAGTGGTGCTAAACTATGGAATATGTTGCCAGTATCAATGAAAAATTGTAAAGATCTGGACACTTTTAAAGGTATGGTCCAAAACTGGACACCCCAGTCAAACTGGAAATGTGAATTGTGTGCAAATGTATAGCCTAAAAGGCATTCTGGTTTTAAATCTCAGGTAGCCTCTAAGGCAACATCTCACTTTTATACAATAAATAGTGTTAAACACTTAAATACTTTTAATTTTTTCTCAGGTAAAACAACTGCATATAAAAATAAATTATTTATTTATTTAAATTTTATATCACTATTATAGTACTTCACATTAATTTATTTCATTCTGCCGGTGATATTAGCCTGCTATGGCTAGTGTTGTGCTTGTTGGAAAACTGACGTGAAATAAAATTATGTTATGTTATGTTATGTTATGTCCTAATTTTATAACGATTTATTTGAACATATTTTACTAAGATCAACGGCAAAACAATGAGTTATTACATGTGTCCACATATATTTGTTTATTTTCTGAGTGTACATAAAAATATCATACTACACGATTTTCCCAGATCTGGCACAACTCAATATCATTCTAAAAATGGTACTTTTTACAGCTTCTTTAGTTCAAGTTTTAAATCCCTTTCAACTGGAATTTTTATGCTCAGGCTGCACACTTTTCCCTTTCAAGTCAACAATTTCAAATAATTTCCCACAGCAACGATTTTTATATATTGGCGTGATCCTTAATCTTTACTTAAATCTTTTTCATTCTCACTTTCGTACTTTTAGTTTTCGAGAAACTCCAAGAAGTAAAAGATATCTATAGCATAATGGTTTTGTTTACGGAAGTAAGAAGAAACAGCGGCTGCGCAGATAAGAAATTATTCGGCTGTTCCATGTAGTGTTGCTTCTTATTTCCACAGAAAAGAATACCAATGTTTGACTTGAATATGATATAAAGTTGTAATAAAGTAAAATGTGAACTATTCCTGTTGCTTTAGAGATATGTTAAGATTCTCTAATGAGAAAATGAAGACACAAAACCTCCAACATGTAACCAAAATTAATCAGTTTTAAGAGGGTGACAATAACATTCAAACGGCTAGTCATGCGCAGTTCTCGAAGATTACCGTTCTGGACGCCATTATCGTTCCTCGAGATAGAAGACGTGATTTCCTACAAAATTTCAACTTTTCCACCGCGAAATCCTGTTAAGCCTGAGTTTTAGGTGAGTTTAGGTTGTCACGATCCTAAAATAGTCACTAAAACGATGGAAAATTGCGAGATATCCACAAAACTGTCATCTGTATCAGCCGCATGTTTTGCGCTCCAAAGCAGGAGTTTCTAAACCAGAAGCAATTTGTTCCGACTCGACCTTATTTCTAATTCGTCTGCTAAAACCAAGTGACAGCGTGCTGCGAAGGTGTGTAACAATTTAAGACGTCACATGTATTTTATGTGTTAGGACTAGAGAAAGAAGTTTTTGTAGTTGTTGTATTTTGAAAAAAATGTCAATGTCAAATACACAAGTTAAATGATACACACAACTCGAGGAAGTTAACGTTTACTGTTTGCCCCATTTACTGTTTTTTTTAGCATAATGTCATCTTCTGCAAACTTTTCCAAATCGCGTTTTAGACTATGTGTAAAAAGTTGCAAGTAAAATGACAGCATTATATCAATTAAAATGTACTTTTATTTTTAAAATATTGAATATCAGCTGGGTTATCAGTTCTCATTCATTTCAGAACTAAGATGTTCTACTAAATAATTTGTTGAAGTAATTAAGTGAGGTTAAACAGTTTTATGACCTCCTTATATTCTACTTTTAAGGCTAATTTCATGACTACTTATATGTTCAGTTTATTTTATTTCTTTTTTATTTTATTTTATTTTTTTAGGAAGAAATCTTCACATGTATTCTTACATATTTTATACTGAGTATAGTGTTTGACTAAATTAATTTTATCTTGAATTTGCTTTTGGATTTGCTTCACATCCCACTTTCTCAGAATTATTTCTATTTCAGTCATAAGTCATTGAATAAAGTTCAACAATTTTTAAAAACCTTCAAGCTAGACTAAACTATCTTAACAGATATTGTCTACTTGTGACTCTGAATTGTGTGCTTTGGAATAAAATACAAACCCCATACAAACTAAATTAACCTATAATTCCCATTTGTGATAGAAAATAATCTGAAGCAACTGAAATATTTCCATCAGTTTCATTTAACTATTGAATGAAGAAAAATCTTTTTTTTTTCCTTGTCTGATACCAACTTGAACATCTGCTTTAGACCAGTGGCTAACTTTTTTTCTCTTTTATAATTAACATTGTTTTATTTATTTATGTCAGCAATGAGCCAGGAGCCAGGTGAAAATGGGTTAGCAGCTCAGCAGCTGGTGGAGGTGGTGTCTCAGTTAGCTCAGGGGATTGACAGGACAGGTGAGTAGATGTGAATTATTAAAAATTTGAGAAGATATGGAATATCCAGAAAGAGGAATATGTTACAGAACATATATGCAAGTGTGCCTCTAATGCTATGAAGGCCATTTAGAGCATATCTTTAAAAAGACATAACTGAATGTTTTATGCAAAGTGACCAAGATAACTGAAACTTTTGGGAATGATCATGCACATATTGAAATTTAAGTCCAGCAAATTTTTAAAAATTTGATGGACCTTTTAAAGATTTAGTAAATTTTTATTTTTTTATTTTTTTTTTTATTTGGGGGGGGGGGGGGGGGTGTCACCCAGTATTAACATTGAAAAGGTAAAACCATAACATTATAACAGTTAATAACCCATAGTTACTATAGGCAGGTGTGTGTGTGTGTGTGTGTGTGTGTCTATATATGTATATATATAATGAGACGTACCTTTTTCTACTTCAGAGTCTGGCAGTGGAGAGCCAGCAACTAAGAGAGTGAGGACAGAAGACAGTGACTTGGATGCTGACCTCTCTGTCAAGGTGGGCTGGTCTGCTTTGTCAGAGCATTTCTGCAGCTAAGGCTCTCCAGTTTTTATTGCCTTCTTCTGCTGTGATTTTGGGCAGTTTGTGTGTAGTAGAAATGCTACCTCAGTGTCTCTAGCACAGTTAGTGTAGTCGTATTTCACAATGACTCAAACCAATCTGTACTGCTCCACTATTGACTGTTTCTACCTCAGTGTCTGTAGCACAGTTAGTGTAGTCTTATTTCACAATGACTCAAACCAATCTGTACTGCTCCACTATTGACTGTTTCCCACTTTTTACTGACCTCATTGTACCCATCAAACCTTAACCTGTTAACTGGCTGTGTTATGTTCTGGGTAGGGGTGGGGAGGTTACTAGTATTTAGATAACTCCTAAATTTAATAGCCATGCTATGAAGTTGTCAATCTCTTAAAATGGAGAGGTACAGAAAACTGATTAGGTTCCCAAAACATAGTTCCTACATAGAACAGTATAGATATTCCAATTTTTCCATCACTTTATCACATTTTTTAAAGACCGCTCTTCTGAACATTTCAGCAAATCTTGTTTAACATCAACAAGGCGATCTGCCTGCGCCTGGATGCCATCGAGAACAAAATGCTGGGGATGGATAAGAGAACAAAATTACTGGAAGACAAAGTAGACAAGTTATTGACAACTCCATCTAATCCTCTGGCTTCAAGCACCCCTGGTAAAAAGTAAGTCTTAGACTTTTTTTATCAGGAGGATAATTCTTAAGAATGAGTTCTGTTGTCAACAAAACAAGATGTGGATCTGGAATTTTGTCCGGGAATGTAGTTAAATTCTATTCACCTCTAAACTGTTAAGACATCATATTTTATCTTCAACTTGGTTTTCAAATTTCAAAAGTAAAGGACTTTGAAATTCTTCTTTTTGAATTCTATATGTGCTGTAACTACAGCTTGGCTAAACATAAGGTTCAATTACAATACTTGGAGAAAAGTGAGAACACTTCTACGCTATTTTCATTCTGTTTTCTTGCCCATGTATTTATGTCTTCTTTCCTCAGTAAATCTGGTGCAGTCATAGTGGGGTTGCCCCAGGAGAACCGGCCGTCCTCAGATGATGATAATTCTAACTGTGGTCAGGGAGTGGCAGGTTTGGGGCCTAATGTTACCCTGATCACCCTGAACACAGAGGAGGACTACCCTGACGGCACCTGGCTGGGAGATGAGAGTAACCCGGAGATGAGGGTTAGGGTCCCTGTGACCCCCAGGTAACTCACGAATTAGACTTTGAAAACAGGCCATTAAGGCCCCATTCAGAATAGGGAACTAACTAGTCCGAGGGTCAAATATGGCCGACCCACTTGAATACTTCCCCATGGGGAATCTATTCAGTGTCTGTTAGTGGATAAGACGACAAGTTTTGAAGTGGGTCGCCATATTTGGCCCTGGGACTAGTTAGTCCCCTATTCTGAATGGGGCCTTAGTGTGCTCTGGCTGGAACATGCATAACTAAATAAAGTGTAGCCCTTTTACATTATGAAGAGCATAAAAGTTTGGGTGTAACTTTAGTCTTATATTTTCTTTTATGACTATCTTTTCTGTATTTTTTGTTATTGTTTTATTCTAGAATCATTTCATTGTTATTATAGTTGACTGAAATTATTTTAGTGTCAGGTGTGACTGTTTTCCTCATCTTTTTCCAGCGATCTGTTACATGTCCATTCCAACTGTCGCACTGCGGAGAAGATGGCACTGACTCTGCTGGACTATTTGTTTGACCGTGAGACCCAGGCCTCATCTAACTTGTCTGGTATGGGGAAACACGGGAAGAAACAGCTGGATCCACTGATGATATATGGAATTAGATGTGAGCATAGTGCCTTGTCTTGTTGATATGACTTTAGAGTTGTGATTTTTTCCTCAAGCTGCTCCAATATGAAATGATAAAAACTGGTATTATTAGCACAAATTTGATGTTTAGAAATGATTGTTCTTGAGTTTTCAACATTGAATAACATGATCATCCTATCATCTCTCACAGGTGAAAGTAATGGCCGTTTAAATAAAGCTTTACACCTAAGGGAAATATAATGTTTAACATATTGATGTTGCATACTGGCAAGGGTTTTCCCAGTGAACTGTCAAACAGCAATTGGACGGCTGCCAGCAACACCAGACGGCCTATATTTTCAAAGGCGGCTGGATTTTTTTGGAAACATGACAGCTTTAGGCATACTTGGACTCCCTGGCTCCCGTTTCACAAAGAATCTTAAATCCGTAGACGACTTACTCGAGCTGGGTGGCCTAGCTAGGTCGACTTAGCTGAAGTCGACTCAGAGTGTTTCACAAAGAATCTAACGTCTTAGCTTGGCGTGCTTACCGTAGTCGACGCGCACGAGAAACTCTTCAAGAAAAGGAGGTGTAAAATTTCAAAAGTTTCACAAGACATGACGTTCCATGGCCTCTTTCGGCTGAGAACGCTCGTTTATCAACAATAAAAATCAGCCAAATCACAAACAAAGTTTGTTTTTTAACTTTATTGATTAGTTTAACTTCGATACAACTTCAAAGTAACAGTTAATCTTTAGCTTGTCGTGGAACACTGCTGAAGGACATCTAGCAGTCAAAAACGTAAACAAACAAGCGATCGGCTGGGTGAAGTGGCATTTTATTTTTTTATTTCAATATTCCATAAATGTCAGTGCTATTCAAGGATATTATAACACAATATCTTGAAGGAGGTATGTTCTTTCAAAATTTTTGTTGTTTATGCTCTAATTTACCGAGTTTTAATTGAGCTTGCCGACTTTAGTCTCCTCCCGAGGAGGCTTGACATCGTCGACTAGCAGCTAAGAAAAAAACGACGTAAGCGACCTTTTAGATTCTTTGTGAAACGGGACTTAGTGACGTAACGACTTAATTACGTTGGTAACCAAGCCCTAAGTCCGGGAAACCGACTTAAGATTCTTTGTGAAACGGGGGCCTGAAATTGTGTAGAAATTTCTAGGTGGTAAATTTGGACGGCCTGTACCCACAATCCTGGGGAAAAGCCCTGGATACTGGTGTTTATTGTCTGTTTTTATTATGTTTATGTATGTTTATTATAATGTCCCATGTCTGTTAAATGAAATGTATATAATATAATTATGCCTCTGTCAGTTCACTGTACTATGTGGTTTTATGTCTGTAATGTTTATAATATATTTATGATATATGTTATACTGTCCATTTATTATAATATATATATATATATATATATATATATATATATAAACTGTCCATGTATTATAATGTCTGTGTCAGGTCACCTCATCCACAGATTTGGTATCACAGAACAAGACTGGCATCGCATTAAACTGAACATTGACTCCAAGTGTCGCACTGCCTTCAGGAGAAAACAGAAAGGAATGCCGCTCACTGTCAAGGCCTTCCATGGCAAGTCCCCCACACAGCTTGGCATGACCCTACGAGGCATGTCTGGCATCAACTCTGACGGGGAAGACTCCATGCAGGAGTCAGCCCTGACGATACATCAGGTAATAGCATAGCAATAATTTGTTTATCAGACTTTTTTTGTACAGTTTTTATTAATTGGAAAACCTTTTTTTTCTGGGCAATTTTTCCATCTCAAGCATTCTGTGCCCCAGTCCCCCCCCTTTACTTTGTCTTGCAGCCCGAGGGTTTAGATGGACCCTGTGTTAATGACTTTACTTTGTCTTGCAGCTGGAGGGTTTAGATGAACCCTGTGTTAATGTCTTTACTTTGTCTTGCAGCCGAAGGGCTTAGACATACCCTGTGTTAATGTCTTTACTTTGCCTTGCAGCCGGAGAGTTTAGACATACCCTGTGTTAATGACTTTACTTTGTCTTGCAGCCGGAGGGTTTAGATGCGGCCCACTCCATGGCGACCTTACACAGTCAGCTGGGGATCACACAGCACGGTGAGGTCCAGATCCTCCACGCCACACCAGAACAGATAGAGCAGCTTAGGGAGGCCCATCATATACAGGTGTTGAATGGAGATCAGGTGTTACAGGTAAGATTATATAGAGTATAGAGGCATTACAGGTAAGATTATGTACAGGTGTTACAGGTAAAATTATATACAGGTGTTCTCACTTCTGTGCAAAAATCTTCACAATGACTCATAGTGACTTAAGAACAAGCCAATTCTATTTCATGTGGGACCCCAAATGATCTCCAAATGTTTTCATCCTAGTGAAAACTATGCTACAACAGTCCATGGGGCTGTATGGTTAAAAGGAAAAAGGTTATTTTGATGATACTTCTTATAAAATGTATAAGGAAAAAAAATTAAATAAAGTTGTGATTGTTTTATGACCTGCCCGTCACTGATTTCTGTTTTTCTAAAACCCCACATTTTCTCCATATTTCCAGTTAAAGCATGGAGATCTTCAGGGTGTTGATGTGGCGGTGTCGTTAGCTGGCACGCAGACAGTACAGATGGTGACTACAGAGAGTGGCGAGGTGTTACAAATCACCCAGGCCGCAGACCACGTGGGACAGGACGACACCTCGTTTCAAGACCAGTTACAACAACAGCAGCAGCAGGACCAAGATGACCTTCAGGAAGACATCAACCCAGCGGGAATACGGGTGGAAATGCAGGTAAGGTTAGGCACTCTATTTTGTAATTCACTAATTGACTAGCTTTTCACAAATTGATTTATAAATTGGTGGAAGATGACTGAGTATTTGTACAAAGATGTGGAAACATTTGTAGGTGACACACACTGTCATAATTGTAGAAAATACTGAGATAAAAAATTCTGTAAGAGAAGTTTTATCATCAGTTAAGTAAATAAGAAAGTCAATTACTTTAAATACAACATTTCTTCTTTACCCTAGCAGTCAGGTGAGGACGAGAATGAGTCGGAACAACAGGAGGAGGTGACGATAGAGGTTCATCAGGCCTCTGCGTAATACAGTGGACGGTGTATGAACTTCTTCTGGAGATGTGGCTGAGTGAACAAGACAGCCAGAAAATAGCAAATCCCCTGTGAAAATTTGTCTCATTTAACGCTTGCTTATGGTTCTCAATCTGTCCTAAAACAATTTTTTTTTCTCTTTAAGTGAAAAATGTTCTAAATCTGTTTTAGGACATTCCAAAAACAGTTCTCAAACTGTTACATTATTACAGAACAACAAAAGAACTGTAAGAAAATACACCAAATGCTTTAGAGTAAAGTGAGAACTGTAAGTGAACATTAAATGAGATAAATTTTGGCAGGGGATGTTTTGACTGTATCTCACAATCCACTCCACTTTACCACAACGGGATTCAGTTAATGAGATGCATTTAATTGCAAATGAGACATATTATAGGTCTTAATGATGGAGTTAATGATGGACAGGTTGTTAGTGAATGAATACGTGAACTGTTGTAGACGTGTTGTGTTGGAACATTGTACAGTTAAACTGTAAGAATTTAATAAGCTGGGTTATTATGTGTCTGAAAATTAATAATTATCTTTCCATACTTTACAGGAACATAGTTCTCTTTTTATGTACAGACACAGATGTGTCTGTACATATAGCCGTCATCTGCGTCTGTCGTCGCCGTCGCCGTCGTTGCCGTCGTCGCCGTGCACTTTTACCGATAACACGATAAGTGGAAAACTGTTTTTTCTTTTTGTTTGAAACTTACAGAACTGATGAATATTCATAATACGCAGGTCGAGTTCGAAAATCAGCATGATCGGGTCACTTATATGGAATTTATGCTGTTTTTTTACTTTTTTCAGCATATATGCAGCACCGATAACACGATAAGTGGAAAACCAT